TGATGTGCACTTTTCGGAAGCCATGCTAATGGTCTGCTAGACCCAGGTGGTGAGTGAATGTTTTCGGGCGATAAGACTCCCCTTTGTAGGCGGGTTTCCCAGGTTTCGGTAGTGGGACCACTCTTCCGACTTTCGATACATCAGGTATTTAAATAGTGGTCATCGACAAGTTGAAGGTAGCTTACTCCCGTCGAGCCTAGATGTTTTAGCATCAGCATACCGTCAGAGCCAATGGATTTGGACGATTTTTTTTTGATGGCACTGTGAACTTCTCCATCGGTGAAAGTAAGTGCAGTCTTTTGACATTTTGCGCAGCCGTGGGATCACAGGGATCCGAAGAGCGTAAGGTGTCGCACTCGTTTGCTAATACAGCTGCTTCGGCTGGGAAATTAGGGCGGAGTTCCGCGATTCTTCTAGTCGGTATGAAGCGAGCAGTAGCAGCAGCGATCACCTTGCGGAATTGACACTTGAAGGGGCTCTCGGTAAATTCTGTGAAGCCATCCCCGTTTGCTTTGTTAAAGTTACCAAAGGTGCGGTTGTCCACAGAAATAAAGTCGGGAGGTTTCCCGATCGAGATAATTATGGACAGATGGCCTTATGCGAGAGTTAGCATAAGTCGCCAGGTTATGCTATTTATCAGACCATCACTAGCGATGGTAACATCTGGCGAGCTATTACAGGCGCCCATAATTGTGCAGAATGTCGAATAGTCAATTTTGTCCGCCAGCTCCATCTCCCTACGATCGTTTGACAGGCAGGAGTGCCAAAGATCGTGGTGCGTGTTAATGTCACCTAGCACCAAACGGGTTTCACCACGAAGTAGCGCACCTATGTTCGGGTGATATCCTGTTGCAACTATCTCCTCGATCTTACTCTGGAGTCCCTCGGGTTTGTCTCGGGTGTCTAGTGGTTATCCGGGAGGTAAGGGAGGTACGTGTAGGTGGTGGTTGTTGCAGCTGTAATATCCGCAGGGGCGGTTGTCGTACTGTGGTGTTATTTGGCGACGCCAATTTACGGGATTGCGGGAGCAGACTCCTGCAGCACGGGGCAACAGACGACGCACTCAACTCACGTATGGTGCGCAGGCCGCAACCATCTGACACACGGAACAGACTTGCGACGAACCAGGAGTTCTTACGTGGTTATGGCACGAGGAGTGGAGCGGGATGAAGGTTGGGAGGGATTGGTAAGACTTGAAGTCATTTTGACTGTGTGAACTCCTTAGGGCCGCGGAGGTCCTTTCTAGGCCACTCGACTGGAGTAGCGGCGCAGAGCGCGAACATGGTGTAAATTTCTCAGCCGTTGAGGCAGATATCGTAGTAGTGCGTTGACAGCATGGGGCCACGTAACTCGTGGTCCCCTCCTTATTAGTCTTAAGATCTATGCAGGTCTTAAGATGGCTCCATCCATTGCATGTGTTGCACCTAACCGAGGTGGAGTTAGGATGGAGCCTTTTCGCACAAATGCAGCAGAAGAATTCCTCGGGGCCCGGGTTAGCAGAATTCGGAACATCCCTGCTGGTAGGTGTTGCTCTAAGTGCGACAAACTTAGACTAAAACTTACCGATCCAAACAAGGTTAGATCGCCGAAATAACAGTCCTTGTCCGGATAATCCGGGTGAATTCCGGTAACGTAAAACCGGCTGTTATGCCAATGGGCATTAATGCGGTACGCCTTAAACTACTACTCGATGCTAGTTGTCAAAGTTGAATGGAGGAAGGTGATGTGGAAACATCCAGGCACTTTCTTCTCCACTGTCTAACACATATCGATAATCCCACATTCGGCGAGACAGCAGACTTAGCCGAAATGGATATTAGCCGTCTCAACAAATTTGTTATAGGCTGAAAACGCTTTGTCGACATGTAAGGGTCTTTTTATCCCGCTTTATAGGAGATTTGAGGTACCACAACGGACCGGTGTTTAAGCTGTCCAAGTGCCATCCTTCTTTGGACCTAGTAACCTAACCTAACCGAAGTGTAAAATTCATTATACATCAAAGCAATACACACTCTAAATAGTTGAATTTTTTAACATTAAATTCTAATATTTCAATAACCATAAGTCAGCGACAATTTAATGTATATATTTTTTTAATCGCACATATGTACTTATTTTTCTATATATATATAGTTTAAGGGCCCCAACGAAGGATGTCTCAAAAATATGCTTTTTTTTTACCTAACACCAGTGTGTCCATAGTCCTTTTGCGTGCTGAAACGTATTCGATGCGAATGAATTGTCCACAACGCGATGTTGGATCGACAATCGGTTTAAAATGAATTATACACTTATATTTTCCACTTTTATATCCACTAACACTTGACTAATTCGTTTTTAGAAACTTTTTTTATATTAGATGGTGCAAAAATAGCTTTATTTCCATATTTAAATCATTCTTCAATTTTATTAATTTTGACAATTACAAAATGGTTGTGAATGTCAAAACACCAGTGTTGCCATACAAAAATATATTTTGTAAACGAAGAAAAATAAAATAAACAGAGAGATTATACCCTAGATACAGGAAACAACGCAAAAAGAAGCAGGGTTATTTTTTTGAAACGCAGCCGAAGGCCGCCAACGCAAAAAGAAGTTCTGCGCAAAAAAACCTTGATACACCCCGGTGTTGGAGCGACCAGGGTTATTTTTTTGAAGCGCGGTCGAAGGCCGCCAACGCAAAAAGAAGTTCTGCGCGAAAAATATTTTGATACACCCCGGTGTTGGACCGACCCGGGATATTTTTTTTGAAGCGCGGCCGCAGGCCGCCAACGCAAAAAGAAGTTCTGCGTAAAAAAACCTTGACTCACTCCGGTGTTGGATCGACCAGGATTATTTTTTTGAAGCGCGGCCGAAGACCGCCTACTTAAAAAGGAGTTCTACGCGAAAAGAAATTGTTACATCCCGGTGTTGGACCGACCAGGTTATTTTTTTTTTTGAAGCGCGGCCGAAGGCCGCCAACGCAAAAAGAAGTTCTACAAGAAAAAGTAATATTGTCATAGAGGGTATAACGTAATACTTAACATCAATGCTTTGTTATAGTTTATTTCTCTAGGTTTTGGATTCCTGTATTTGGGGTATTATCTGTTTTAATTTCTTTCAGTTCTATTACAAAAGATGTCGATAAGGTAACACTGATTATTTGACATTTTGCAACCCTTTTGTTATTGTCAGAATTAATAGATTTTAACAATAATTTAATTATTGAATTAAACTATTTTTGCACTATATAATGTAAAATATGTGTGTACAAACGAATTAGTGAAGTGCTAGTGGATATAAAAGTGGAAAATATAAGTGTATAATTCATTTGAAATCGAAAAAAATGCGTACTTTAAATAGTTGAAATTTTCAAATTTTAAACGTAAATATCTCGAAAACTATAAGTTTCCCGCGGTTATATCGGGAAAACTTTAGTATAACGTCCCACGCTTTCGGGGATAAAATGGGTATGGGCGGATAGAGGAGATCCTCCAGATCAAGAATATATATAGATATAGCCGCGGGAAACTTATAGTTTTCGAGATATTTGGGTTTAAAGTTCAAAATTTCGACTATTTAAATTACGCATTTTTCCCATTTCGAATGAGTTATACACTTATATTTTCCACTTTTATATCCACTAACACTTCACTAATTCGTTTGTACACATTTATTTTACATTATATAGTTAAAAAATAGTTTAATTCAATAATTAAAATATTGTTAAATTCTATTAATTCTGACAATAACAAAAGGGTTGCAAAATTTCAAATAACCAGTGTTACCTTATCGACATCTTTTGTAATTGAACTGAAAGAAATTAAAACAGATAATACCCCAAATACAGGTATCCAAAACCTAGAGAAATAAACTATTACATTGATGTTAAGTATTATGTTATACCCTCTATGACAATATTACTTTTTTCTTGTAGAACTTCTTTTTGCGTTGGCGGCCTCCGGCCGCGCTTCAAAAAAATAACCCTGGTCGGTCCAACACCGGGGTGTATCAAAATATTTTTCGCGCAGAACTTCTTTTTGCGTTGGCGGCCTTCGGCCGCGCTTCAAAAAAATAACCCTGGTCGGTCCAACACCGGGGTGTATCAAGGTTTTTTTGCGCAGAAATTCTTTTTGCGTTGTTTCCTGTATCTAGGATACAATCTCTCTGTTAATTTTATTTTTCTTCGTTTGCAAAATATATTAGTATGGCAACACTGATGTTTTGACATTCACAACCATTTTGTTATCGTCAAAATTAATAAAATTAAAGAATGATTTAAATATTGTAATAAAGCTATTTTTGCAGCATCTAATATAAAAAAAATTTCTAAAAACGAATTAGTCAATTGTTAGTGGATATAAAAGTGAAAAATATAAGTGTATAATTCATTTTAACTCGCAAAAATACGTACTTTAAATAGTTGAAATTTTCAACTTTAAACGTAAATATCTCGAAAACTATAAGTTTCCCGCGGCTATATCTATATATATTCTTGATCTGGAGGATCTCCTCTATCCGCCCATACCCGTTTTATCCCCGAAAGCGTGGGACGTTATTCTAAAGCCGACCCGTTATATCTATATATATATTCTTGATCTGGAGGATCTCCTCGCCGTCGTCGTCGTCGTCGTCTGGAGGATCTCCTCTATCACATCGCACATACCCATTTTATCCCCGAAAGCATGGGACGGTATACTAAAGTTTTCCCAAATATATTTGTAAATATATACATAAATTATAGAAAAGTTAACTTTCCGCTCACGGATTTGTAACATTTGCGTCAACATAAGGCGATTTAAAAAAAAAAAAAACTTCATTTTTGAGGCCTCCTTAGTTGGAGTAAACTATACATTTAGCGAAAAATTAACTAAAAATCGAGAAATTGTTAGATTAAATTTGTGAAATTTTCAACTTAAAACGCAAATACCTCGAAAACTATAAGTTACCGGCGGCTATAATTATATATATTCTTTAACTGGAGTATCTCCTCTATCCGACCACAGGAGACTACCACTTACCAAATATTTTATTTACAACCGATATTTTAAGTAGAGAATATTTTCGGGAAAACTCAGACGTCTGTACATATTTTGTAAGCATCAATTGCACATTTTGTGCAGTTGTCCACTTTTTAGACCAAATCCGGTACATTTCCTCTCTTTATATACAAAACAGTAACATCAAAAATGTTCTTGCATAATTGAGAATATACAAATGGCCTAATTTATTTAGACACAATCACATGTAATAATATACAGAACTTAGTTGCAGTTACAATAATCTGGATAATTTTAAAACTCATCGATAATTACTTGTGGTATCAACATGTAATTATCGTTACCCTGATAAAATATTGTAACAGATTTTCCGATAAATCGTCTAAATGTTACCCTGATAAAATATTGTAACAGATTTCTCGATAAATCGTCTACATGTAACTCACTCTTAAGCTCGATCACTAAATTGTTAAATTAAAGTCCCAATGTACTTTACTTTTATTTTCAACAACTTAACACTTATTGCTCGATATTCGAGTTTACAACTTATTGCTTATAGCCTAATTGCTTTTTACACGGCAACACACTAATTTGAACTGTGTCTGCTGCACAATCCGGCAGCCCTTATATAGTAAATTTTTAACAAAAGTTCGCTACTAGAACATTCTGGCAACTACGAATTCGCTGTCTAGATCCCTCTGGCAGTTTATCGTCGATTCTGATTGGTTCTGTTATTCGTATCTTATCGCTTATAATTTTGGTGCGCTGTCTCACCATAGCATGTATATCCCTCATCTCGTCTTCTAGGATGCTATTGAATTCCTTAGTATTCCTTCCTCCGTTGGCGTTAATTCCATTTTAAATCAATCGGTAGTCGAAGATCATTACCAAAAATTACTCTTGCTGGAGTCTGCCCCGTTGTTTCATGTACAGCAGACCGATAAGCCATCAGGCACAAGGATGTAAGGGTATCCAAATCTTTTTGAAACTTGTCCACAACTTTCCTCAAATGTTCTTCCAAAGTTCGATTGAATCGTTCTACCATGCCATCAAACTGCGGATGGAGTGCAGTTGTACGGGTTTTCCGGATACCCAGCTTGTGGCATATCTCCTGTATTAAATCTGATTCAAAATTTCTCCCTTGGTTAGAATATAATTTTATTGGAACACCATATCTCGATACCCAATTGTTGATGAATACATCCGCTACTGTTCCTGCCTCTGGGTTAGGAATTGCGTATACCTCTGGCCATTTGCTGAAATAGTCCATGACTACCAAAACATATCTGTTTCCTAATTTACTGATCACAAGCTATGGTGGACCAGCTACATCCATGGGTACTCGCTCAAACGGCGCACCTAATTGTACTGCTTCATCTGACATTGACTCCTGGACCGAGGCCCTTTAGCAGCAATGCACTCGACACAATTGGCGTTCCACTTCGTAACTCATTGACGACAACCAAACCAATAAAATCTTTGTTTCAATTTCTCCAAGGTTTTATTGATACCTATGTGTCCTCCACTTGGACCGTTGTGCAGTTGGTTGAGAACTTCAGGAATTCTTACCTTTGAAACAATCATCAGAGCTCGTGAACTTTGCCCATCTTCGCTTTCCCATACGCGATGCAAGCAGCCAGACACTAACTTCAAACTATTCCATTGTGCCCAATAAGCCTTTGCGACTGGGCTTTCTGCAGCTTCTCACGTTGGACGTTTATTCATCTCCAATCCGTGTATTACACTTTTCAAATCTGGATCCTCTTGCTGACATTTCCGAAGCTTCTCCGGATCCCAGTCTGATGTTATAGTCATTAATCGGACATCTATAATGTCTTCTTTGGCCTCAGTTTTTGAGCAATGTCTGCATTCCAGATTACGGGGACGGCGGGACATGGCATCAGCATTTCCGTGACTACTACCTTTGCGTTGTTCTATAGAGAAGTCGTAACTTTGAAGTCTCTCAATCCACCGTGCCAACTGTCCTTCAGGGTTCCTGAATTGTAGAAGCCATTTTAATGCTGCATGATCTGTCCTCACCCGAAATCGCTGGCCATAAAGGTACTTATGAAAATGTTTGATGCACTTCCCCAACGCCAGTAACTCCCTCCGAGTAATACAATAATTTCTCTCTGCCCTAATATAGCTCCTTTGGAGAGTTTGATTGGTTACTTGCACTCATTAAGTACTCTTACTGGAACAAGTTTATCTTATCTTGTCATAGCCAGGGTTTTGCCTATAAGTAAGTTTGGTGTAGATTCTTTTGTGGCCTCAACAATTCACCACTTGTTTGGCCCATCGTCTCCATCTATTTCTGCCCATATAACTACTTCTGATATTGGTGGAATCTGCTGGCACTCTGTTGTTATCACTCGTCTTACGTTGTACCTATTATCGTAACCGAACATAAGTGTTCCATATTTCTATAGGACATAATCCTGTTTTTCATGTCAATTTTGATTCCTTGATTCGCTAGAAAGTATACTCCAAATTTGACTATCGTTGACGAATCTGCAACTATAAAATTGTCTAACACGGCTGCCTTCCCAATTACGATCTGGCACGTTACCTATCTTCTCTAGTTGCAGTACGCAACTTTGTCCGAGCTAATGGTCTCACTCTTTTCTAAACCAGATCGCTTTTTACCGTCTACATATCCACTAATGGTAACGTTACTCGTATTCCTGCTTATTTGTGAAATGGAGATTACAGGGCATTTGCTTGCGGGAATCAGCCCGTGCCCTTTTCTGTATGCTGTCAATTTTTTCAAGTAATTGGTTCATCCAAGTGTGTTCCTCTATTTCTACTTTGTGAGCTTTAAATGTTTGATTGCAAAGCAGAGATGCAGTTTCCTGTGTCAGAGCATACGAAACGGTTTCTGCAAACGTCAATTTTGGACATGCTCATGCAGCGAAGAGTGTAGTGCTATCTCGTATTCCATTGACGAAAGTCTGAATTTTCGTGTCCTCGATGTATTCCATGGACTTATGTGCTAAATGAGCTAACCTCTCAATCTCCGTAGAAAACTCCTGCAGAGACTCATTGGGTTTCTGGCGGCGATTTCGCAACTCGATTTGAAAGATCTGCTTCCTGTGCTCACTACCATACCGTCCTTCTAATGCACACATCAACGTTGAAACGTCGCCTCGCAGTTTGGAATGGTCTGTAATATATCCGCTGCAGATCCTTTTAATGCAACGAACAATGCAGCTACTTTATCTTCAGCGTTCCAACCTGCGATATCCGTGTATGTTACTCTTTCAACTGTCAGGACACCTCTGCTGATATACGTGCGTCTTGCGTTTCGAACTGCTCTTCCAACTGCGTTGACAACCGCGATTATAACTGCGACATTTGTGTTGATATTTGCGTGGACATCTGAGACATACGTGCATTCTGCTCTTTCCCCATCTGCGATATTGCAGCAAAAATAATGTTTACGTCCACCAACTTTGACGAGCATTGAGCCTCTTCCTTTTCTTCTATCTTTGTTGTCTCTTCCACTAATTCCATGTGAAAGACATAATCCTCAACATTAATTTTTTCCGCCTTCATGGCCTCTCTTAACCGTGATTGTAATTCATTTTTTAATCCATTTGTCGCCAAACCACGTTGCTCCAGCTCCTTTTTCAGTTGTGGAATCTTCAGATCGTTGGACTTGGCCATTTTCAAATAATTATCTCTTTGGGGATTTATTTGACAATCCCACTTCTGACACCAATTGTAACGGATTTCTCGATAAATCGTGTACCTGTAACTCACTCTTGAGCTCGATCACTAGATTGTTAAATTAATGTCCCAATTGAATGGCTATACACTTATCTTTAATTTTATTTCCAACAACTTAACACTTATTGCTCGATATACGAGATTACAACTTATTGCTTATAACTTAATTGCTTTCTACACCGCAACACTCTAATTAGAACTATGTCTGCTGCACAATCCGGCAGCCCTTATATAATAAATTTTTAACAAAAGTTCGCTACTAGAACATTCTGGCAACTACGAATTCGCTGTCTAGATCCTTCTGGCAGTTTATCGTCGCCACAATATTGTGACAATAGCTTAAATGTGTGAACATGGAATTGAACCGACGATAAATTTCCAGAAGCAACTGGACAGCGAACTCGAATTTGACATAATGTTGTAGAGGCGAAGTTTTTTAAGATGTAGGGCTGTCGGATTGTTCAACACACAGTTCTAGTTAGAGTGTTGTCGTGTTAAGAGCAATTGGGACGTAAGCAAGAAGTTGTAAGCTAGAATAACGAGCAATAAATGTTAAGTTGTTGAAATAAGAGCCATTAAATTGGGACTTTTATTAAACAATCCAGTGATCGAACTCAAGAGTGAGTTATAAGTAGAAGATTAATCAAGAAATCCGTTACAATTGGTGTCAGAAGTGGGATTGTCAAATAAACTCCCAAAGAGAGAATTGTTTGAATATGGCTAAATTTAATGATCTAAAGATTTCAGCACTGAAAAAGGAGCTAGAGCAATGATATTTGGCATCAAATGCGGTAAAGTCCGACTTACAGTCACGGTTACGAGAAGCCATGGAAGCAGAAAACGTTAACGTTGACAAATATGTGTTTCAACTGGAATTAGAGGAGGAAACAATGGGAATACAAGAAAAGAAAGAGACTCATTGTTCAACAGAGGTTGTTTTGACTGCGTTGAAAGCCTTGCCAGCACAGTCGAAAATGCGTGGAGTGCATATGTCATCACTGTTTAAAAAGATGGGGGACGTGTGTCAGCGCAAGTGTCCTCACAGTTCGTAGAGGAGGAAGCGTATGAACCAGGGTCGTCACAGTATGAAGAACAAGAAGCTTGTATACCAGCACAAGTGTCCTCTCAGTCGGAAGAGGAGAAAGCGTGTGTACCGGTACAAGGATCCTCGAAAGAGCTGGACGTGCGTATGTCAGCAGTAAAAGGGTCCTCACAGTCAGAAGAGCAAGAAGCGTGTATACCAGCACAAAGGTCCTCACTGTCGAAAGAGTTGGACGTGCGTATGTCAATGCAGGTGTCCTCACCATTGGAAGATCAAGAAGCATGTGAAGCAGTAAAAGTCCTCACAGTCAGAAGAGCAGGAAGCGTGTGTACCAGTACAGGGGTTCTCACAGTCAGAAGAGCAAGAAGCGTGTATACCAGCACAGGTGGAAGAGCAGGATAAAATTAAACCTGAAACGGATGACTCTTTGCAAGAAGGTCCAGGATTGGATAGTGTAATGTCTGAAGTGTAGCTGCACCAATGTACAACGAGTGAATAAATAAATTCAGAAAGCTATGTCGCAAAAGCATATTGGGCAGAGC